TTATTATTAATTTAATATTTCTATTTATTAGACATGGAATTTACATTTTTCATGTTTACTTTCCTGTCCTCACTTAAATATTTGCAAGTCTTTTCTATATTTAGCCAAGTGTAAATCATTAATCTTTCTAATGATCTTAACTTAATTCCACATTGCTACATATTGATGTATATCAGTACGATGCAAGAAAAACAATCTATGTTACAGCATTCAAAATTCGCCATACAGCAAGAGTGGCAATGTTATACCACGAAGCTAAGATCATTAAGAAAATTAGTCCTTCCTATCTGACTAAACGTGGAAGTTTTAGGAATATTTAAGCGAGATCAGAAAACAAACTGTACTAACATTGGAGAGGCATATTCTATGTGAAAGGCATTAAACTAATCTTTTATTTATTAGTTATATCACGTTTAAATATATGTACAAAATTGAATTAACTTGTGATTGATTATATTTATTTATTACTGTATTTTTAAATGGAAGTGTATATATTAATACTCAAGTTTTACAAAAATATCCTACATAATATCAAAACTTTCCTTACATAATCTGTAATCACTTTTGATTATTTGTGATGTGTATGATATAAATCAAATTGTGATTATCAAATGTAAATCTAAATTTCTTTGGGATGATCCAAAAGTCAGTAAACGTTTTAAAAAATCAATATTTCAGTGAATATTTGATGTATGGCAACAAGATTATTATAAAAATGCATAGAGTCATGGGTTTTTTCCCAGAAAGATATCAAAATTAGTTTGTTATGTTTACCAGGTGGCACTTTACCACAAATAGTAACATACAGGTGTCTTCAGAAATGCTTTCCATAATGACATTACTTGTCTTCTGACTGTGTTTGACAATGAAGGCCTTCACATTGAACATTTGGAATGGTGCATTTCTTTGTGTTCTTATGGGTTAAAGTTGTACCCGGTGGACATAATTGGAACTAATTTTTAAACCTTTCTGGAAAAACCCTCTGACTTTATGCATTTCCATGCTAATCTTGTTGCCATATGTCAAAAATTTGCTGAATTTTTTAAAAATGTTTACTGACTTTTGGATCACACTGTATTTAACCTAATTTTAATTAATAATTAAGATCAAAATCTTAAAAGTATATGATAAGAATTTATTGCCATCCTGATCATTCTATAGAGAATATGGATGTCCATAGTTAGGGTGACCATCCATCCCCGATTTGCACGGACAATCCCTGTTTTTCATCACCTATCAACAGCAAAGAAGTGTTCCCAGTTTTATTCCCCAGATGGAGTCTTGTATCTCCATTTGTCCTCTTCTTTGTGGTTACTGTAATATTGTCACTGTCACAGTTTTTTCACCAGAGGATATGTCCAATATCTTCGGTGTTTCCAGGTAATATTTTAAATGAAGTAACCAATTTTTTGAGCAAATACCAAAAAAGGAGTCAAATTTTAAAACAAAAAATGAGCAATTATTTATTGTGACATTGTCACAATGCAGGGCTTCAATTTTTTGTCACAGTGTTTTCAATTTTTAGTAGTGTCTTGCCCCTGTACAACATACTTTTCCTGTTAGCAATAGAGTTGTACCAGTCATCTATTTAACTCCTTTTCAAGGGAAAATTTTCTATTTAAATAAAAAGTTTGTATATAGTTAATTGGGACCTCCTACCTATAAGCTTTTAATATCTGGTCTCAATTTTCATCTATCTAACTTTGTTTTCATGATTAAGGAAGAACAGACAGACAGAGATGGATGGACAATAGTGGGAATTTCTAGGTCAAACAATTTTTTCAATTTGTAGCCCAACGAAGTGGCGATTGACAAATGTTCCTCTGGATTTGTTTAAAAAAATCTGGTCCCCTATCCTATGGTACAGTTAAACGAGAATGATGTCATCGTTATTCTTATTTCTTTAGACTTTTCGACCAACTTGTTTATAACTAAATGGCTGTTTCTAAAATCAAAGATATGAATGTTGCTAGTGCAGCCTTATCTGAAATATTTTTCTTAGATTGCTTTGGGTGGACAGTTATTTCTATCATTTTACCTTTTAATTCACAATTTAAACACTCAAGTAGATTCAGAAACATCAGTATCATTGGGTGCCATTTTCTTAATGAAGTAAACTAACTCTTTCCTTTGTGAACTTTGTTAGAGTTTTGTTCGAAATGTCATCACCACAGAGCATGCGCACTGAGCGAGACTACTACTTTTTGACCGATTCGTTAGTAATGCATTTAACTCATTCGACTTTACGAACACACTCCTAGTTAGTATGGTTGTGTAGAAAGTCTGAATTTATCATTTCCAGACGTAGTAATTAATGTGTGTCTAGAAATTCAACTAGAATAGCTATATATTTGAATCTACTCTAGATTAATTTTTTCTAGAATTTTATTTAATTAATTAAATAGACGATAATCATAAATTGATTTTCAATTTCTTTAATTAAAGTCAAAATTGATTTCTAATAATTTATGTTTACTACAATGGTGGCATCACTATATATATCTTAAACTAAATTTTGACATTAAATTAATTAAATTTAGCATTCTTATTGCCTGAAGTAATCTGACAGTTAAAATTTATCTTTATTCTTGATAGTAATTTTGATAATCCTGTTATAAAAATCAAGTAATAACAGCAATAGTTTCTAAGAAGTTATAACCTGTATTCACCAACAAAGTAATTTATTGTTAAAACAAATTCAATGTTTTCAGTCATAGGTGATTTTCATCAAGCATTTATTGAATGATAAATTCAAAAAAAAGCATTCTAATTACTGCATATGCACATGTGACATAAGTTTATAAAATTTTAAACAATCAAACATACATATAAAAATAAGATAAGTTATATAAATGAATATTTATATAAACATAATAAATTACACTCAGTTGCAGGTTAATTCAATTTTTAACATTATCATAAATTTTAATTACCATTAATTATAATTACATACATAATTATTAACCGTAATTATCCAATCAGTTATTATTAATTTAATATTTCTATTTATTAGACATGGAATTTACATTTTTCATGTTTACTTTCCTGTCCTCGCTTAAATATTTGCAAGTCTTTTCTATATTTAGCCAAGTGTAAATCATTAATCTTTCTAATGATCTTAACTTCATTCAATATATCTACGTATTGGTGTATATCAGTAAGATGCTAGAAATACAATCTACGTTACAGCTACAAAATTAAATTAATTTATGATTGATTATATTTATTTATTACTGTATTTTTAAATGAAAGTTGTTACACACACAGCATTTTGTAGTTATAATGTTTACGCATTATTTATTACATTACTTTATATAAAAAATTAAGATAGTGTGACCGCAGGGTCGGCACCTCTTTGGCGCCCTGTCAGGATGACACCACTGTGTCCCTTAACGGACACAGAAAAAAGTTATTGGCCGTTTATTTTGTTACGCGAACGGTCGCGTTTGTGGACTTTTAGTTCCGGGATGGAGGCGTAACGAGAGAATCAGATGGAGTACACTCTACATAATCTATACATAATGCCCGTTTATTGTGCATACTATATACAATCGGTTCAATGAACATATCTATTTTTGCCCGGTTACCCTTATTCCTGAGAGAGAGGGCTCACATGAATTTCGTGCGAGGATAAATACCTTGGTTTGAATCGTCGATTAGTCTTGGGTTTGAATCGTCGATTAGTGACTTCACAAAGTTCTTTCGAACGTTGAAACGCTTTTCCCAGTTGCACAAAGTTCTTTCCAACGTTGTTGGGCGTAGTCCTTCCGAACAGCGGCGATTAGATGAGTTCCGGGTAGCAGCTAATCCGTTCACGTAAATTGCACAGTGCACCAATTTCCAGAGACTGACTCTTACGTATCGACCCCTCCTTTTTATAAAGGGGGTCTCGTTGAGTTTTTTCCACTGCCTTATTAAAATTGTTTTTTTCATCCTTGACCAATAGTCTTTTTCGAGATTTCGGGTGACACATTCGATGTATCATACTTGACAAGGAACTAAGTTCGTGGGAAAAGATTTTTATGTTCGTTTTTTATATCGGTTTGAAATTTATTTCTTTACACTTTTCCTCCCTCAACAAAAATTTGTTTAACCATTTATTCCCTAAATTCGACTCTCACAATATAGAACATTCAATTTTTAAAAATTTATATGAAAACATGCATTTAGAATATTTTTAAAAATTTCTTTTTTTTATAATGCTGTTTGTTAAAATATCAAAGAAATTACTACAAAGTCAATTCACATTTCATCACATCACTTCACCAATATGTATTTTTAGATACAGAATAGGATTAATGAAATATAATTGAGTGAAAAACCAGATATATTGAACAGATATATAGTAACTGTTTAAAAAATGAATAAATATAGAAAATGAAAATAAGTATCTTTCATAGAAAATATGCTTTTACAAGTAAATTATTCATTAGTAAGTTATCATAACTAAATTGCTAATATTAAGAGTTAAAAAAAATATTTTTTGCTATTTTTTTAAATTGTGGTTTCAATTTTATTACATTTAACAGGTTAAATGTTAAACTAATAGTGTTATATGCTATAAATGCAATAATGTTATTGTAACCTTTTGCATTTATATTTTGGGAAAATGCTCTAGAAAAGCTATTCTATCAGAAGACAGTTAATTTTTTTTAAAGAGATTCATTACAATAACACTGTAATTATTTATGAATCTCTTGGTTAATTTGTTGAAAACATTCAGAATATTAAAATTATGTATTTCTTGAACTGTATTTGTTATTGTTTTTTTTAACTAGAAAGAAGATATAATTTATTTAAAAAATAGTTTTAATACCAGTATTCAATAGAAAAGTTAGTTTGAAAAGTTTTTGATTTTTAATGTTTATTCTGACAATGTAGAAACAGTTATCTCTGGTGATAGGAATATCACCAGAGATTATTTTTGAAACCAAAACTTGTGGTATTATGCAGGATTTGTATTGCTGATAGTTTTTTTTTTTTACTGAAAATGTGTATAGGTGAACTAAAGAATTTGACAACGTTCATTAAAAATAACTCATTGACTAAAGTTAGTGTACTGCGCACTCCAGAGAGAGCTGGATTGATTCGTGCTCGCATGTTTGGAGCTCGTCATGCCACTGGAGAGGTAATTCAGATTTTAAATATTTAGCATAGTAGTTTCAAAAGGAAAATAACTTTTAAAACTTATAGTTTTTAATATAACATTAGTAAAATTATTAGTAAAGAGCTGTATAAAGATGTGCACAAATCTTTACAAATTTTTCTATTTATTGTTATAAAAGAATTATTGCTTACATTGTTAAGTTAATTCTTCAGTATTTGTCCCACAAAGATGTTCTTTGTGATCTAGAGCAATAGTTTGTAACTCCTTTATGTGTCAACAACTCCTTTGTGTTTACAATGTCAACTCCGGGGTGGAGTTGTCGACAAGGTAGATGTAAGAGGTCATTTAGTTCTTGAAGCATCGACGATACACAGATTAGGAAGAGCAGTTTTTGAAACGAAAGGTTGGAGAAGCACGGTTTTCTTGAAGAATGGCCGGAGAAGTGCAGTATGAGAAGAATGGTTGGAGAAGAACACTATGAACTTGAGATGTGGGTTTATATAAATTTTAACCACAGTCTGAACAATTTAATTGGTCCCTAATCCCGCTTATTCCTCTCTGATTGGTCCCTTCTTTGTCTCCAGATAGAATGAGACCCAATCGGGCATGGGAAAGGTCAAATCTTGATATTAACCTGACACCTCATCTCAATCTCGGACAATGGGATGTTTAAACAAACCTTGGAATTTTTGCTTGTATTTCTATATGTTTTGTTTTTTCACTCGTGAAAAATTTTTATAAGAAGTCTTGCAATAATTATTTATTGATTGAAATATTTTATAGTATTTTGAGTTCATTGTAATTTCATCCTATTTACAAGCATCCGAGCCAAAGTTTGTTTCCCGGTTCGACGTGTGAACTCAAGTAGTCTGCACTTACATCTATTACTTTTCCCTTTGCATTTGATTATCTAACAAAATTACTTTCTGAAGTGGAAAGCTTCTAAGTAAAATTTAGTGAGAGATTCATCTCTCATCTGGTACCTCACAGATATATGGGCAACGACTTTAGCAGTATGATATTGTTTGAGTTTAAAAATGAAAATAAGTTGTATTTATTTGCTTATAGATTTGGAAATGTAACAAATCTTTGAGCTTCTGTTCTGAATACTTGTATTTCAGACTTTGTTATTCCTAGACAGTCATTGTGAAGTGAATGTCGGCTGGATCGAACCTCTTCTGGAACGTATTAAAACAAATAGAACTACAGTTGTCTGCCCTGTTATTGACATCATTAATGCAGATACTTTTCAATATAGTGGTTCTCCAATTGTTCGCGGTGGCTTTAATTGGGGTCTTCATTTTAAATGGGACTCTGTACCTTCGAGTCTGCTTAAAATGGATATTGATTTTATTAAACCTATCAAGTAAGCAATCGTCTTAAATTCTCAAGCATTGTAAAATTTTAAATTAATTATAGAATTTCATGATATACTTAGATCGCCTACAATGGCAGGAGGATTGTTTGCTATAGATAGGAAATATTTCCATAATTTAGGAGAATATGACGAAGGAATGGACATTTGGGGAGGTGAAAATCTCGAAATTTCCTTTAGGGTAAGTGAATTATTTATTATCTTATTTTATTGAAACAGAAAATGTTATTTTTTATCTATATTTAGATTTGGATGTGTGGTGGAAGATTAGAAATTGTTCCTTGTTCGCGTGTTGGACATGTCTTCCGTAGAAGAAGGCCTTACGGTTCTCCTACCGGTGAAGACACCATGATGCGTAATTCATTACGTGTTGCTCACGTTTGGATGGATGAGTATAAAGTAAACTTAAGCTTTAATTGATGTTAACAAAAATTAAAATCATATGTTTTAATATAAAATAAAAATTTTAAAACTAGAAATATTACTTTCAAACAAGACCAGATGCAATGAATAGAGAATATGGAGATATTTCTGAAAGGATGAAGCTTCGGAAAAAATTAAATTGTAGAAATTTCGACTGGTATATGAAAAATATTTATCCCGATTTACCACCTCCTTTACCAAAATCAGAGAAATCTAAATTAAAGAAGTGGGAACTTTCAAAACAAAATAAACAAGTTCAAGCATCTTATAGGAGAATTATGCCTAAAGTTAAGGCTGTGTATCAGGTAAATTAATATCAGCTTATTAGAAATCAAACTCTTCAGTATGTGTTTTAAATACTTTTAATTAAAGTGTAAAATAATTTTAAAATTTTAGATTCAGTTGCAGAATACTGATTTATGTGTAGAATCAGAAGATTATGTGACAACAAAAGGGTCTCTTTTAATTCTTCAGAAATGTTTGCAAATAAAGAGACAGGTAATATTAATTATTTATTTATTAACATATCTAAGACAATCTTTTGAATAAAAATCCTGGTACAAAAAGAATAATAAATCATTAATATTACACGATCAGATATAGTATAAAAATAATTTAAAGAAAGAATATTTGAAAAAAAACAAACAAATAATCTAAATTTTTACTAGTAGTAATGCTTTAAAACAGTGTTTTTCAACCTTCTTGAATAAGCGACCCCTTTACAAGTTAAAAAATTCTGGCAACCTTCCAGAGCCATATTAAAACAACGTATTTAAGTTCCTTTCTGTTGAGACCTAAGTATTGATTAAAAAGCCAATTGTACTGTAAAATAAACAGGCACAGCCTTCTTACTGAGATTGTAATTTTTTTTTATTGTAGTGTAGGACCTACAAACACTTGTTTTTTTCTTTTACCCGCGACCCCTCATGTAAGGCTTTGCGACTCCCTGAGGGTTGCAACCCACAGGTTGAAAAACACTGCTTTAAAACATCTATTGTAGAAATTATTGTAGAAATTATTGTAGAAACTGCCTATTGAATTAATAAGATGATGATAATTCATCATGAAAAAATTTCAAGATTTTCATCTCTTTACATGCCTTTTCCTTTATCATATTCTTATAATTATGGAAATATTTCTGGTCGATGGCAAACAAATTATTCTGCCACTGTAGATAATTTCTTATTCAGCAGATTAATATAGAGATAGACAGTAAAACGTACAATAAAGTAATAAAAAATATGTCCAATAGTTTTACAATGAAATGGAAAATTCAACAGGCATATAGAAATTCACCTACCAGGCTGTCTCCTACTTTTAGTGGTGCTAAATTCATCTTTTGATGGAGTTCTTTTACATATCCCCAGCTTTTTGGCAATTAAATCAAAGTACAGGTATTCCTTGTACAACACAGTTTTGTTATAACAACATTCAAGAATTTAGGAAATACTTTGTACAGAATTTCACAATTTTTAAGTGCAAACTCCATTTTTTATTTCCAAGTAAACATGTATGTTGTCTGAAATTTGCCCATGGATTTTAGAATATTAAAACAAATGGATATTAAATTAAAACAAATGAAGATGTTGCTGATATTTCTGATCAAGATCAACAAGAAAGCTCAGAAGATGACGATAGTTTGTAAAAAGTTGTCTTTGTTCAACTAAAATTAATATTAACGTGTAATATGGTACTTTTAAATGTGATTGTTAGTTAATTATTGATTGCTTTAATAAACATATTTCTCTTAGTACAAAGAATAGTATATGTTAACTTTTGGAACCTAACCCTACATTTTGCACTAGTCTTTTGTTTTGTGTGGCACAGATTTGCATAACACTACACTTTTTCAGAACGTAACTACTGTGTTATACAATGGATACCTGCACAATTTAACTGTAAAAGCATAGTAAGTTCAATAATTATAAACACAGCTTGCTTACTTTTCCAGCAGACAGTTATATGCATTACAAATGCTTGGCTTTTTGAAAAGCCTGCTTCAGGTTGTTCTCTTGTATGAACTTCATTGAAGTTTTGAGTCTCGAAATTTTAAACATTTTTTTTAAAAAACGCTTTGAAAATTCTTATATGTAGTGATATTTTTAACAGGAAAGTATAATGCACGTGCAGACTTTTATCCAGAAACATAAATGAGAAAATTAAGTTATTTGTAACACATACAACTCTGCTGGAGAAGTAAGCAATCATTATAATTACATTTTTACAGTTTGGATAAATCAGTTTCATAATAAATACTTCTTGAAGGTGGTAACATAAATGTAGGAGTTCTTCATCAGATTTATTCTTCAAAGATTTTAGATTGTAAAGGAAGCCAAACTTTGCTTCATACCTTTTTAACTCTGCAAACTTTGTATTAGTACTTTGCAAATGATCACCATATAAAAGTCTGTTACTAAAATGTCTTCTGCATTGGAAGTTATATGGTTAATATTTCATACTCAACAAAGTTGGTTTTCTTCCTGTGGCAAAGTTGCTTAAACTTTTTTAGAATCTTTAGCTCATCAGTATTTTTATTTGCTGTGATTTTTGCAAAGACCAGTCTGTTTTTCTGTACTCTGCTAGCAAAGAGAGTGTGTGTGTTTGGAATGACTGATAATAGAGTACAGATTGATGTTTATCCTTTGCCATAGCATGATTTTTAAGTTGATCCTTACTAACAAATTATACCGTACAATAATTGAAATCATAAACTTGGATGGCAATATTTCATTATGTAACGAGACAGACTCACTTGCAATTTTGGAGTAGCTGCTTGTGTCCGAAAGTTCTTTGAGACACACTGCAACTTCTTTCAACTTTTTCTCTTGGTACATTCACTTTTGAAAACCTTGACAATGTGCCGTGAATAAACATTACAGTTTTATTTTTATCGTTTTAAGCTATAAAAATTTCACATTACAAACTCATAGAAACAACTGAGTTGTAGAATACTCAACTGTTTTATATCTGCTTTATAATAAATTCTGATAAATTTGCAGGAATATTTCTGACATACATCAATAACATATTATATTAAAGTTATAAGGCTATTATAATATAGAAAAATAAGAAAAAGAAATTGGAACAGTAGCAAAATATTTCTCTATTATTGAAATTTGCAATGAAAGTTTCTTGTCTTCCTAAAATAGCTTTGGTATGAAACAAAGAAGCGTGATCTGAGGCTAGCAGAATTATTGTGTCTCGATGCAAGAGAGAAATATCCTCGTCTGGCAAAATGTCATGAAACGGGAGGATCACAAGAGTGGAAGATTTCAAATAAAGTAAGAGACTTATTGTATATTATTTAAAAATTTTATATTAACATCATTCTTTCAAATATTAACTATGTGTATGTCACTTATATTTTATCAGGAGGATATATTAATTTATAATGCAGCAGCTGGACTGTGCCTGGGTGTTAATTCACCCGTTTCTGGTCAGCACATTACCATGGAGATGTGTAATTCAAAACAGGCAAGGAAATGGAATTTAATAATGAAAGATGTTGAAAAATAAAATAAAATGTATTATTTTGTTAAATTTTTTTAAAAATATATTTTGCTACATGAATATTTGAAAGAGAGCATACTACAATGTTTAAATTGTAAGGGAATGTGATCATTGTTTATTTAATTGAAATGAAAAGTTTTTTTATATTATTAAACGGTCGTGCAGTGATTTCAATGTAGACAATTAACCAAATCCAGTATTATGTGAAATCTGCCTTAAGCAATAACTTAAAAACTGCATTATCACATAAATCTTCCATTATTATGGTATAATTGAGCTATATATATGTATAAATTTACTGAAAATTCTTTTAAAAAAAATTGTACATAAGATATATTAACTCGTGTAATTCTGTTCTGACATACAATACCATTATAGTCTTAGATGATCTATATTTAGCCTTCCAACACTTTCATCAGTGCTCTGCAATTATACACCAATAAATATTAAACCGTTGTTCATAAAGAGAATTTGTTGAATAATTTACAAGAAGAGACGAGTAAATGACTATTGCGCTTCGATTCTGTTACGAGGTTGGAAACGTCGACACGTAACGAGGAGCTCGTGTTCTTTTATCGAAATCTCCCATCAGAATTTCATGTAAATTTGTAATTGAGTGTGAAATATCGTTTACTATTGTATTGCTTTTTATATGTTAAATTATTCATTTTTTTGTTATATGAAAGTCAAATATGTAGATTTGAACATTATAAGAACCGACTTTTGTTAATAAATGTAGAAAAAGCTAATTATTTTTCTATCATTGAATTAAAAACATTGTTTTGTAATACATAGATGCATGTAAAAGAACTTTATACAATTGCAAAAGATCTAGACAATGTTTTAAAAGGATCTGGACTTTTTCATGTTTTGGGTGTTCCGATCAAGTTCATGCATGTTACCGATTGATAGAATTGACCATTTAGACCATATAGAAATTATTAAATTGCCTATAAATCCAATTCTTTAATAATTATAAATTACTATACTGAGATTTAGAATAATTACAAGATTTTTAAAGTTGGAAATGTACTGTATACCTGGTATAATGTAGCTTGATACAGCATGAAATTGCGTATGTGGTCAAGAGAAGGTTGGATGGCCGAGTTGGTGAGATGTTGCCCTACTGATCTAGGGATTTAAGAACAATCTTGATTGGCCGAAAAATCCCGGGAATTTTTTGGGTGGGTCCGACTCAGTTATTTTCAGTCCTCTTCCTTGCCACTTGGCTGCCCCACTATGGATCTAGCCGAACCCAAGATGGGCTTAATTATTTTATTCATATAAAAAGATTGAACAAAGTATTTACTTGAAAATGTGCTTTATTGAATGACTTAAACACAAATAAATAAATCCAAAATATGAATTCTTCAGAGCCTCAAGATCGTAAATTCTTTTTAAAATAAAAAAGGCATTGAATATTAAAAGTATTTTAGTATATTTTTAGAATTTAAATTCACTCCACTAGTTGATTTATATATATGTATATAGATTTAGTATTAGTTGAAATAATGTAATTTGTATTCCTAATTGTAAACAATTATGGCAAAAAGTTTGAAAGGAAGAATTCCTAAACAGGAATTTTAAATGAGCTTTCTTTAGATGCTTTCATGCATTCATCTATTTTATTTCAAGTGTCTTTTTTAAACGCTTAAAATTCATGTTTATCTATGTGAAAAGTAGACAGCTGTTTATATATCTTTCATAGCTTAATTACACCTGTGTTTAGACACTTCACATTTAATTAGATCTATGCTGATATATATTTCATGTGTAATTGATCCATCCTTTCTAAGTTTTATTAAATCCATACACATGTTTACAGTATACGAGGGCAGTTTTATTTGCAGTGGCATCATTGTTGTAACATTAATTCTAGAATAAAATAAAAGACGCGATGATCACAGTCTATTTTGTAGGCAACCCATTACGAAACCCCTGGAAGGTGATCAAACACTGTCAGCAGCTCCATTTTAGCCAGTATCTGGAGAGACCACTCTAAGGCAGAAAATTTGCTGCTCACCTATGAAGTTCTAGAACAGTGGTTCTCAAATTCTTGTGGGATTTCTTGAGCGACGGTCTTTTTATAATTTTTTTAGATGTCTCGCGGACCCTTTAAAATTAACTACAATTAACATATAGGCTACTGTTACCAAAACATTTTTTGACACAATTATTTACAATTAACTGGGCACTTGCCTCAATTGAACAGTTCTGTGACTTATTTAATAATTAATAAATTTATTTTGTTCCCAAAATTATTTATTTTTATTTAATACTTATTATGAAATAAAAAACACTATATAGAGGCGAAAATACCTTAAGCCCGGCTCTGATATAAAGTATACACATAGTGTAGCAATAATGTTACAAAAATTAGTTACGTTATTACTACTATAAACAAACAAACTGTAGTTACCATTTTTTATACTCATACGAGTGTCAGAAATAGTAGATATGAAACTGTGCTTCGGTACACAGTGGTGCCTCGTACTTCGAATTTAATTCGTTTAATGAGGCCATTCGATCTCTGAATTGTTCGAAGTCCGAATCAATTTTCTCCATTAGAAATAATGTAGACTTATAAGAGCACTCGTCAAGTGATCGATTCTTCGTAGCAATATCAGGATGATCGCACATTCCACAAACACTACACGTAATGTTTGCCCACACAAAATAATAATAACGTGATGTCTACGTAGCAAAACATAATTTCTGTTGTAGATTCAGTAGAGAACGTTGGATAATAATACAAGTCTAGTGCAAGAGCGCTAGATCTAATGTTTTCTTTTTATTGAAAGACATATAAAAAATTATGAAATCGAACTCTAAGGTTATATGCATTTTATTATAAGAATGAGAAAGCTTTTATTTAAACCCAAAACCAGGTTTATGGATAAAATGACACTTAATAAAACATTAAGCACCTTCCATCGCTGAGAAATGTTTATTTAATAAAATAAACATTTCTCAGCGATGGAAGGTGTTTTAAAAACGCTGAGTTTGATATTTAGTTAAATAAATGACAAGGAACAAGGTAATTTGGAATCTTCATCAACAACTGCTTTAAAATGCTGCAATTCTACCCTTCCTTCAGGAAACTAATAGTAAAAATGCAGAATAATGCAATGGCTTATATTATAAATTAGGTGAAAACACTTTATTTTACCACCATTTTTCACGTTAATGACAATCGACACGATATTTTCATGAAAAATATTTATTTTATTTAAAAAATATACAAAAGAAAAGATTAAAAGTTGATAAAAATAGAGAACAGTTCGCCAGCAAAACGTAGTAAAATACTTCACGATAAGCGTTACATAGTCCACGTATTGAAGAGAATTTAGATAAAAATTTAGCTTTCGGCTCGTCTAAAAAAATATAAAATGTCATATAAAATCAAAAAAATTTAGGTTATTAATCTGGTGACTAAATTTAACACCAAGTTTACGTATCTTGCGGTTAGGAAGAGTTTTTCAAACACAAAAAACGTCAATTCGAAGTAGATGATCTGTACCAGCAACCAAATGACAGTTAGTGGGTCAGAGAGATCATCTAAATCTGGTGCATAAAAGAAAGTATCCCTGAAAAAAAAGTAAAAAAAAGAAAATTCAGAAAGATGTAAAGATCATATTCAACACATAGCCTACTTACATGAGCATATAGATCTGCGTGGATACAGAAAAGGAAGCAACAAACATAATTACTATATAAAAATATAAGATGGCTGCTACGATTAATGGAAATTCACCGATATCGATTAATCTGTTGAATTGAGGAACGTAGAACAGTAGCATCGCCAAGGCAGACACCTGTAAAAATTTGCATATTGACAAGCTTCCTTGTGAAAGTTGTTAGAGTACCAATAATCTTGTTTGCTGAAGAGAATGAAGTGACGCGTTACGACGTTTCTTGTGTATTAAAACACGCGTTACGCGCAACCCCCTCCACCATGCTTTCCAATAACGCGAGCCCACTAATAGCTGAATGGATAAAGCATCTGAAATGGTGGTGGTATCGCACCCGACTTACAGGAAAGCCACGTTTAAAGAAGGCCAGTTTCCTATAGAAAGTCTTCACAGAAGACTTGGACACGCAACGCAAACACGGGTGATGCCAAGGGGACTTGGCATCACCCGTGTTTGCTTAGATATTCAATGTAACAAACTTAAGGTTGACGTAAAGTAAAATTCTTACCTTATACGGTTGTATACCGATTAGGAAACTAAAGAAGTATATCCCTATATTAATTATACGGTTAGAAATTTCTCTTTCCAAGTCCATTTTCACTACGAACGAAAATTCGTGATGGAAGAGGAACAATTGCATAGTGAATTTATAGTGTGACGTTTAACACCACTTTGCATATCCATAAATGCAATGTGTAAAACTCCTAACTACATGGATTTGACGTTACTTTACTCTTTCCCATTGTAAAAAAGTATAAGAATGGTGTCAGAACGGCGTAAAACTGTGCACTATTCTTCTATGCACTTGAGAATACCACGAGTAAACGAGGGTGACGTCATCGTCATCGAAACTTTCGCTGCACATTTTGAACGATTCCTTACAACAAAATGACTTCCTAAAACTGATCAGGTGAATATTGTTGGAGAATGTTTAGTATTAAACGGCCATTTTGCTGTAAAAGAATCGTTCAAAATATCTAGAGAATGTATCAGTAACAATGAGGTCATTCTCGTGTCGTTTAATTCGTTCGCATACTCTGAGTAAAATAACCGAAAAAAAGGGTTCAATTAAGATTGTTTTGGGTACTAAATTAATAAGTTGTTTGATAAATATCAATGACGATGGCCGTTAGTGGATCCATTGCTCATTAATTCCCGTTTGATTACCGATCCTTGGGGGAATCCTACCTGTTAGAATTACCCAAGACCACTGCTATAGATCCTGATGACTCTCCCTACTGTTATGAATACAGTGGGTGTATTGCTTGGTAAAGCAACCTTAATTTAGCTGGGTAAACACAGTGAAACGGACTACATCATTGGCTCGCTCATCCATTAAAGCCGCATTATCAGGCAATGGGCCCAATGTCTTTTCTGTCCTTCTAAGGGGTCCTTCAGACTAGTCTAATTGTTTTAGCGCTTCGGCAAAGCTAGTCGCGAGCATCAGTGACGAGAACAGTAGATATTTCTCGTGGGAATATGAGCAGGAATAGGATTTTCGGGCAGGAACGGGAATGGCACTGATGATAATACTCAAATACTCCCACAATCAGAAATCACATTGAAAGTTATTTTTCATTGTTGTTTGTTATCTCTACTCGTTGTCATTTGTAAGCCAACAACACCTAGTAAAGATTTTTGGAACTAACGTTTTCCCCTGTTGACCAAAACTCCCCCTCTGACAATACTTACCGCTCAAAATAGTGTAAACATTGGTAATTTCGGGGTGCAGGGCTGCAGTTTTTAATTTATTTCATTTAAAATATATGCCCTCCGCCTCAAATTAATAGTGGCTTGCTCCTGTACATCATACTTTTCCTGTTATCAATTGAGTCCTCTATCTAACTCCTTTTAGGGGAAAAATTTCGAATTGAAATAACGTGACTTTCGGTTTGTATGAGAAGTTATTATATGGTTAATCGGAGCTTTCTGCCCCTAATCTTTCCACATCTGGTCTCGTCTTTCATCTATCCCACTCTATCCTCGAAATTAAGGAAGGACAGACAGACAGACAACATTTAAGCATTTATAGGTTTACAATTTTTTCAAATTGCAGCCATGTAGATAGGCTAAAGGATCCTCTCATAAAATTAACAGTTTATTATCAAGAAATTGCCCATGGTATCACGAAATAACCATCTGTACGTAACATAAAAAATTAAGATATAGAAGAAAACACTCTTAAGATATTGCCTCACCTCTCACTTTTCACAAATTTCCAAAAAGTTTTCTATTAATTCCAGCGTCAAATGTGCTCTAGGAAAGAAACTTGAATGCTGCTGGCCTAGTAATTTACAAGCCAAGAAAGGGGCTAAACTTTACTTAAAGGGGCACACGCATTACTTAATTTAACATTGCTGGATTAGAGATGAAATTAGAAAACAATATGTTACCGTTACACATTAGCAACTCTATCATAACAACACTAAAATAATAATATGGATGCAGCACGTGTGAAAGCCAATTCAACTCCTAGTATCACAATGATCAGCGCCATTTTTTACAACTGCTCAAACTGTCCGAAATTCTGCTGGGTAATTCCATACCACCTGCTGCACCCCACAAATTTTCTTCAAACTCCACAGTATGATAGTGTAGTTTGAATTGTTATATTGCTATTCCATTGTGAATCTCATAAATTGTTAAATTCAATCATCTATTATGAAAAGCCTTGTGTCATTTCATAATGGGTGATTGAATTTATGATTTTTCAAGGAATGTCTATGTTACAAGCAATTAGCAATTAAAAACATTTGCTATACCATAAAAACGTTGAAATTCATCATGGTAAACGCCTGTTATATCAATAACAAATATTTCTTCTGTGCCAAGGTATGGAATGATTTCTGAAACGATTGAGTAATTCTGAACGATTAAACAGCAAAAAAAGGTGCTTATTGTTAATTAAAGAAGCACGTCTGTTTAGCTTTTCATCCTGTCCTTAAAAAGTTCTAAATCAGGGAGTCAAATAAAATGATCCACCAGCTGCTCAGTGATAAAATCATTCAATACTAGTAGTTGGTTGTGAGTTTGCCAACATGATAGCCACATAAGAGTTTCGTGGGGTTTCTTTACGTGTCTAGCACTTAAATATGGAAAATTTTGAATTTGAAACACCTCTCTTGGCAGATCGTCTATATACTGTGTTGCCTAATTCCATTCCATCCATCCCATAAAATAAAAACAATTGAAACCAGAGATAGTCATAAATACTGTAAAACTATCCACATGATACAACAAGAATAGGCGAAATACATGTTTCTCCCTACAATTAACAAGTCCAATTAACTGTTTTACCAGTTATTTTAATACAGTCAAACCTTTGAACAAAATGGACATATTAAAAATGGCCTCCTTTTAGAGTGGCAGCTATTGGAAGTTCGACTGTATTATACTTTTAAACAATATTTTCCGAAATACTCGAAAAATTTCAATGTTAACCATGATTATATTCAAAATTGATTTTATGTGAAATCATCCATTTACTTACTGACATTGAAATTTTCGGCATTGTATGCATTGTTATCAGTTTAACATGTACAATTGTCAATATACTGTTCATAGACTTGTATTATTATCCAACGTTCTCTACTGAATCTACAACAGAAATTATGTTTGGTTACGTAGACATCACGTTACTATTAATTCTTTTGTGTGGGCAAACATTACGTGTAGTGTTTGTGGAATGTGCGATCATCCTGATATTGCTACGAAGAATCGATCTATTGACGAGTGCTCTTATAAGTCTATATTAATTCATTATTTCTAATGGAGAAAATTGATTCGGACTTCAAACAATTCAGAGATCGAATGGCCTCATTAAACGAATTAAATTCGAAGTACGAGGCACCACTGTGTACCGAAGCACAGTTTCATATCTACTATTTCTGACACTCGTATGAGTATAAAAAATGGTAACTACAGTTTGTTTGTTTATAGTAGTAATAACGTAACTAATTTTTGTAACATTATTATGGTGGTGGTATCGCACCCGACTTACAGGAAAGCCACGTTTAAAGAAGGCCAGTTTCCTATAGAAAGTCTTCACAGAAGACTTGGACACGCAACGCAAACNGACCAGAAATATTTCCATAATTATAAGAATATGATAAAGGAAAAGGCATGTAAAGAGATGAAAATCTTGAAATTTTTTCATGATGAATTATCATCATCTTATTAATTCAATAGGCAGTTTCTACAATAATTTCTACAATAGATGTATTAAAGCAGTGTTTTTCAACCCGTGGGTTGCGACCCCCAGCGGGTCGCAAAGCCTTACATGAGGGGTCGCGGGTAAAAAAAAAAACAAGTGTTTGTACACTACAATAAAAAAAACTACAATCTCAGTGAGAAGACTGTGCCTGTTTATTTTACAGTACAATTGGCTTTTTGATCAATATTTAGGCTTCAACAGAAAGAAACTTAAATACATTGTTCTTAAGAGCACTGACATTGTTTTAATATGGCTCTGGGAGGTCACCAGAATTTTTTAACTTGTAAAGGGGTCGCTTATTCAAGAAGGTTGAAAAACACTGTTTTAAAGCATTACTACTAGTGAAAATTTACCTGATACACAGCCTTAACTTTAAGCATAATTCTCCTATAAAATGCTTGAACTTCTTTATTTTGTTTTGAAAGTTCCCAAATGTCCATTCCTTCGTCATATTCTCCTAAATTATGGAAATATTTCCCATCTATAGCAAACAATCCTCCTGCCATTGTAGGCGATCTAAGTATATCATGAAATTCTATAATTAATTTAAAATTTTACAATGCTTGAGAATTTAAGATGATTGCTTACTTGATAGGTTTAATGAAATCTATATCCATTTTAAGCAGACTCGAAGATACAGAGTCCCATTTAAAATGAAGACCCCAATTAAAGCCACCGCGAACAATTGAAGAACCACTATATTGTAAAGTATCTGCATTAATGATGTCAATAACAGGGCAGACAACTGTAATTCTATTTGTTTTAATACGTTCCAGAAGAGGTTCGATCCAGCCGACATTCACTTCACAATGACTGTCTAGGAATAACAAAGTCTGAAATACAAGTATTCAGAACAGAAGCTCAAAGATTTGTTACATTTCCAAATCTATAAGCAAATAAATACAACTTATTTTCATTTTTAAACTCAAACAATATCATACTGCTAAAGTCGTTGCCCATATATCTGTGAGGTACCAGATGAGAGATGAATCTCTCACTAAATTTTACTTAGAAGCTTTCCACTTCAGAAAGTAATTTTGTTAGATAATCAAATGCAAAGGGAAAAATAATAGATGTAAGTGCAGACTACTTGAGTTCACACGTCGAACCGGGAAACAAACTTTGGCTCGGATGCTTGTAAATAGGATGAAATTACAATGAACTCAAAATACTATAAAATATTTCAATCAATAAATAATTATTGCAAGACTTCTTATAAAAATTTTTCACGAGTGAAAAAACAAAACATATAGAAATACAAGCAAAAATTCCAAGGTTTGTTTAAACATCCCATTGTCCGAGATTGAGATGCGGTGTCAGGTTAATATCAAGATTTGACCTTTCCCATGCCCGATTGGGTCTCATTCTATCTGGAGTCAAAGAAGGGACCAATCAGAGAGGAATAAGCGGGATTAGGGACCAATTAAATTGTTCAGACTGTGGTTAAAATTTATATAAACCCACATCTCAAGTTCATAGTGTTCTTCTCCAACCATTCTTCTCACACTGCACTTTTCCAGCCATTCTTCAAGAAAACCGTGCTTCTCCAACCTTTCATCCCAAAAACTGCTCTTCCCAAACTGTGTATCGTCGATGCTTCAAGAACTAAATAACCTCTTACATCTACCTTGTTTAACAACTCCATCCCAGGGTTGGCATTGTAAACACATAAAGGAGTTGTTGACACAAAGGAGTTACGAACTATTGCTCTAGATCACAAAGAACATCTTTGTGGGACAAATAATGAAGAATTAACTTAACAATGTAAGCAACAATTCTTTTATAAGAATAAATAGAAAAATTTGTAAAGATTTGTACACGTCTTTATACAGCTTTTTACTACTAATTGCTGTTATATTAAAAACAATAAGTTTTAAAAGTTATTTTCCTTTTGAAACTACAGTAGAGCTTCGAAAACTCGGCACTCGATAACCCGGCAGTCCGGATAATTCGGCCACACCCTGGCAGGGCGCAAAAACCCCTAGTTAATTTTCATTATAGACAGCTTTATGCCTCAAAGTATTTTTCTGGAGTCTGTCTTATCAGGTAAATTACTGTACACTGTGTATTCATTAATTTTTATTTTCATGTAGTAATGGCTCTGCCTTCATAAAGTACGTACTTTTCCTTTGTTTAAGGATATTTGGGCAGTTTATTCTTTGTTGTATTTTCAAGCAAACAATACATACAAGTATAGTACATTATTTTCTGAGGACTCCACACTTGTACTTATTTTTTTAAACGCCATTCCCGATAACCCGGCATTTTCACAAACTCGGCCACCCTTCGGTCCACATTTTCGAGGCCGAGTTTTCGAGGCTCTACTGTACTATGCTAAATATTTAAAATCATCAATACTGAATTACCTCTCCAGTGGCATGACGAGCTCCAAACATGCGTGCACGAATCAATCCAGCTCTCTCTGGAGTGCGCAGTACTCTAACTTTAGTCAATGAGTTATTTTTAATGAACGTTGTCAAATTCTTTAGTTCACCTATACACATTTTCAGTAAAAAAAAAAAACTATCATCAATACAAATCCTGCATAATACCACAAGTTTTGGTTTCAAAAATAATCTCTGGTGATATTCCTATCACCAGAGATAACTGTTTCTACATTGTCAGAATAAACATTAAAAATCAAAAACTTTTCAAACTAACTTTTCTATTGAATACTGGTATTAAAACTATTTTTTAAATAAATTATATCTTCTTTCTAGTTAAAAAAAAAAACAATAACAAATACAGTTCAAGAAATACATAATTTTAATATTCTGAATGTTTTCAACAAATTAACCAAGAGATTCATAAATAATTACAGTGTTATTGTAATGAATCTCTTTAAAAAAAATTAACTGTCTTCTGATAGAATAGTTTTTCTAGAGCATTTTCCCAAAATATAAATGCAAAAGGTTACAATAACATTATTGCATTTATAGCATATAACACTATTAGTTTAACATTTAACCTGTTAAATGTAATAAAATTGAAACCACAATTTAAAAAAATAGCAAAAAATATTTTTTTTAACTCTTAATATTAGCAATTTAGTTATGATAACTTACTAATGAATAATTTACTTGTAAAAGCATATTTTCTATGAAAGATACTTATTTTCATTTTCTATATTTATTCATTTTTTAAACAGTTACAATATATCTGGTTTTTCACTCAATTATATTTCATTAATCCTATTCTGTATCTAAAAATACATATTGGTGAAGTGATGTGATGAAATGTGAATTGACTTTGTAGTAATTTCTTTGATATTTTAACAAACAGCATTATAAAAAAAAGAAATTTTTAAAAATATTCTAAATGCATGTTTTCATATAAATTTTTAAAAATTGAATGTTCTATATTGTGAGAGTCGAATTTAGGGAATAAATGGTTAAACAAATTTTTGTTGAGGGAGGAAAAGTGTAAAGAAATAAATTTCAAACCGATATAAAAAACGAACATAAAAATCTTTTCCCACGAACTTAGTTCCTTGTCAAGTATGATACATCGAATGTGTCACCCGAAATCTCGAAAAAGACTATTGGTCAAGGATGAAAAAAACAATTTTAATAAGGCAGTGGAAAAAACTCAACGAGACCCCCTTTATAAAAAGGAGGGGTCGATACGTAAGAGTCAGTCTCTGGAAATTGGTGCACTGTGCAATTTACGTGAACGGATTAGCTGCTACCCGGAACTCATCTAATCGCCGCTGTTCGGAAGGACTACGCCCAACAACGTTCGAAAGAACTTTGTGCAACTGGGAAAAGCGTTTCAACGTTCGAAAGAACTTTGTGAAGTCACTAATCGACGATTCAAACCCAAGACTAATCGACGATTCAAACCAAGGTATTTATCCTCGCACGAAATTCATGTGAGCCCTCTCTCTCAGGAATAAGGGTAACCGGGCAAAAATAGATATGTTCATTGAACCGATTGTATATAGTATGCACAATAAACGGGCATTATGTATAGATTATGTAGAGTGTACTCCATCTGATTCTCTCGTTACGCCTCCATCCCGGAACTAAAAGTCCACAAACGCGACCGTTCGCGTAACAAAATAAACGGCCAATAACTTTTCTCTGTGTCCGTTAAGGGACACAGTGGTGTCATCCTGACAGGGCGCCAAAGAGGTGCCGACCCTGCGGTCACAATATCTTAATTTTTTATATAAAGTAATGTAATAAATAATGCGTAAACATTATAACTACAAAATGCTGTGTGTGTAACAACTTCCATTTAAAAATACAGTAATAAATAAATATAATCAATCATAAATTAATTTAATTTTGTAGCTGTAACGTAGATTGTATTTCTAGCATCTTACTGATATACACCAATATGTAGATATATTGAATGAAGTTAAGATCATTAGAAAGATTAATGATTTACACTTGGCTAAATATAGAAAAGACTTGCAAATATTTAAGCGAGGACAGGAAAGTAAACATGAAAAATGTAAATTCCATGTCTAATAAATAGAAATATTAAATTAATAATAACTGATTGGATAATTACGGTTAATAATTATGTATGTAATTATAATTAATGGTAATTAAAATTTATGATAATGTTAAAAATTGAATTAACCTGCAACTGAGTGTAATTTATTATGTTTATATAAATATTCATTTATATAACTTATCTTATTTTTATATGTATGTTTGATTGTTTAAAATTTTATAAACTTATGTCACATGTCTATATGCAGTAATGTTATTATATTTCTGCTTGTACAAAATATAGATACAGTACTATATTAATGCATTTTATTAGTCTACGTAGTGAATATACTAAAACAGATTTACAAACTTCAAAATTTATACATAACTAAATAGATTAATATTCAGATATATTTTATTTTGAAATGTTCATTGAAGGTACAGAATGTATTAACAGATGGAAGATTTATTTCATTGGACTGCCATAACGATCAGTAAATACTAAAAAATATTATTCCTCGGTTAAAAGCAAGATTATATCTCATAAAAAGTTTGGTCAATAAATATTTTCCTCATATTCACTTTAATCTATACTTAAAATATGATTAATGTGCACTTANTTTATATGTATGTTTGATTGTTTAAAATTTTATAAACTTATGTCACATGTCTATATGCAGTAATGTTATTATATTTCTGCTTGTACAAAATATAGTTACAGTACTATATTAATGCATTTTATTAGTCTACGTAGTGAATATACTAAAACAAATTTACAAACTTCAAAATTTATACATAACTAAATAGATTAATATTCAGATATATTTTATTTTGAAATGTTCATTGAAGTACAGAAGGTATTAACAGATGGAAGATTTATTTTGTTGGACTGCCATAACGATCAGTAAATACTAAAAAATATTATTCCTCGGTTAAAAGCAAGATTATGTCTCATAAAAAGTTTGGTCAATAAATATTTTCCTCATATTCACTTTAATCTATACTTAAAATACGATTAATGTGCACTTATGTATAAAATATCATAAAATTTGTAATAAAATAAGAAGTTTCATAATTACGAGTATATTGCAGATGGCCCTGGATTATAGGCAGTTTCAAGATAATTATTAATATTTAATTACTAATAATAAAATCATTGTTAATTGTTGAAAACTTTTTACTGTTAACTGATCTAGAATATTCAAAATTTTACTTTTATGGACTTTTTACACNGTCAATAAATATTTTCCTCATATTCACTTTAATCTATAGTTAAAATACGATTAATGTGCACTTATGTATAAAATATCATAAAATTTGTAATAAAATAAGAAGTTTCATAATTACGAGTATATTGCAGATGGCCAGTTCATCTGGAGATTATAAGCAGGAATGTTTGAAGATAATTATTAATATTTAATTACTAATAATAAAATCATTGTTAATTGTTGAAAACTTTTTACTGTTAAATGATCTAGAAGATTCTAAATTTTACTTTTATGGACTTTTTCCACCCTTGGGCGTTAAGAAGGTTTTTTTTTTTAAATCCATGAATGGCTCAAGCACACGGCCAGTTGATGAGAAATGGGGCCCGATTAATCCGGGACAGATCTTTTTCTGGAAATTCCTGTAGTGTTTCAAACCGCTCGGAATCACTCCCGAATCCCCATAGTGATAAGTCCGATTCCTCGGCCAGTCGGCTGGTATTCTTACTTTCATTATTTTTGTAACAGAATGTAACATAGCATAATATGATATGATATTATCTTAAATTTAATATTAATTTTTACTTTTAAATCCAGTGACTGAAGTCTTCCAAGCAGACTCGCAGGTACGATTTAGATTGGATTTGGTTAAATAAGGAAATTCAAATTATGGGAGATGCGTGAAGTGAAAAGCCTTCCAAGAAGACTTTCTATAGGAAACTAGGACATATTAGACCCATGAAAAACCAACAGTCTTTTCACTATTTATATTAAAATATTGTCTAAGTTAAGCTGTTTTCGAAGAGAAAAATCCAAGATCTGAAGAAGCTCTCAGATTTACCAATCATTTTAATACAGTACATTATATCAATAGATCTACATAAAACAATACTCGATAGGAATATCAATCCATAATTACTCAATTGTCAATTGCATCAACTTAATGACATCTATTCTTTGATAAAGAATATATTATTTATAAATTAATATTTTTCGGTTTAGTTGGTTTCATAGCTATGAGATAAGCAGTCTTTCATCATGCTTTACTATTTCAGCCATTCTCTGTTATTTACAGATTGGAGGCTGCGCATAAATTACACTGTCTCAACGAATAAGAAACTAGCAAATCTCACCAACAAGTGAGTGAATTCAGCTGCTGATTGCTCCAAAATTTGCGTCTGACAAGGGTATCAAGTTTAACGGGTTTCCTTCACATGTTTAACTTCTAGACAGGGCGTACTTCCTTGAAAGTTTTCCTAGTAAGCTCGTAACTTAGGAGGACCCGTAATAAATCATCTAGTGTTATCCTTATCCCATTAACCAAACTAATAGCCAGTTCTGGACAGAATTATTCTAGTTATGCAGCTGAAAATTTACATTTTTAAACCAAATATGCTTTTTTCATTAATACTAATGTTGATATATAAAGTGCAGTTCTTCGGCACGTTAAACTTCAGGGTTTCAAAACTACAAAGTTTAGTAAGAATCAATAATAAAAATTGACACCGATTTTATTTAAATTATCGAAGTTTTCAAACGTATAAAAAGTAGAGTTCACACACGCGTTGCAAAAAGTTTTGCAATTACTTTTTTATTAGAAAGCAATAATTACGATTTTATTGTTTTTTCTATTTTTATTTAATATACGTTAAAAAATAATGGCAGATGTCCACTGAACTGCAAATAATATAAATAGCGTGAGTATTTTAGACGAGTTTATAATCACTCTAGCGAATCCTGTGGGTCCTTGGAGGAAAAAAATACTTAAATAAAATCCACTTCAACGATGAAAATATTTATTGCTTTTGTTTTAATCTCAGCTTTACTACTCTTAGGTAAGAACAATTCTGCATTTTATACTTATATATTCTGATACCCGGTCCAATAACTGCCACACGCAGAATGTTACCTCATTCTCGGTACGACGAAATACAGTTTAATACTATGGGAATCCGAAACAATTTCGGAACCTAACAGCAGCGAGCCACGCGGCTGATTCTCGTTGTAAAGGAATTTTCAAAAACACCTCTTATTTACTTAATTT